GCTGTCAAATATTGGAATCTTATATTCAAAAGCAGAGTAACTATGGCAGATTTTGATGCACAAAAAAGCTATTTCTACTAAGTCGACCAAGTTAAGTCAAAAAATGCCAACCATTTTGACACCTGTCAAAACCCTGTCAAAAGGCAGCACTCATCTTTTCCAGTTTTCAATATTTTATGATGTCGTTTGACATTTTCAACTTGTATGTGAATTCTGAATTCAAAAATTGAAGAAAAAAAATGACAGAACTGTCAAAACCTGTCATTTGTTTTAGTAGAAAAAAATACTCTATTCTGGTTCTTTCTCGTTTTAAGGTAGTTTATTGCTAATAAAACATTGAACAAACTCAATATGAACCAAAAAAATATTAACAGATTCTGACAGTTGTCAAAATGTGACATGCATGAACTCTGTTTTATTACCAATAAACTACCTTGAAACAAAAAAGAACCAGATTAGAGTATTTTTTTCGGAAATCAATTTTTCTACAAGCTCATTGAACATCGATCTATCAAATTTGACTTTGACATCTGTCAAAAATTGCCCAATTTGAAAGGGAGGAATTTTTATTTATGAAAAGACACAAATATGAAGCTCAATGGATATTGAATCGTCTATAATCGTCAAAATAATAACATTTGACAGAAATCAATTTTTCTACAAGCTCATTGGATGTCGATCTATCAAATTTGACTTTGACATCTGTCAAAAATTTCCCGATTTAAAAGGGACGAATTTTTATTTATAAAAAGACACAAATTTGAAGCTCAATGGATATTGAATTATTTCTTATCGTCAAAATAATAACATTTGGAAGAAATTAATTTTTCTACAAGCTCATTGGACATCGATCTATCAAATTTGACTTTGACATCTGTCAAAAATATCCCAATTTCAAAGGGACGAATTTTTATTTATAAAAAGACACAAATATGAAGCTCAATGGATATTGAATCATCTGTAATCGTTAAAATAATAACATTTGACAGAAATCAATTTTTTAACAAGCTCATATTGGACGTCGATCTATCAAATTTGACTTTGACATCTGTCAAAAATATCCCAATTTGAAAGGGACGAATTTTTATTTATAAAAAGACACAAATATGAAGCTCAATGGATATTGAATCATCTGTAATCGTTAAAATAATAACATTTGACAGAAATTAATTTTTTAACAAGCTCATATTGGACGTCGATCTATTAAATTTGACTTTGACATCTGTCAAAAATTGCCCAATTTGAAAGGGATGAATTTTTATTTATAAAAAGACACAAATATGAAGCTCAATGGATATTGAATCATCTGTAATCGTTAAAATAATAACATTTGACAGAAATCAATTTTTTAACAAGCTCATATTGGACGTCGATCTATCAAATTTGACTTTGACATCTGTCAAAAATTGCCCAATTTGAAAGAGACGTATTTTTATTTATAAAAAGACACAAATATGAAGCTCAAATAGACATCGAATTGTTTCTTGTTCTCAAAATAATAACATTGAACGGGAAACAATTTTTCTACAAGCTCATTGGACACTGATTTATCAAATTTGACTTTGACATCTGTCAAAAATTGCCCAATTTAAAAGGGACGAATTTTTATTTATAAAAAGACACAAATAAGGAGCTCAAATAGACATCGAATTGTTTCTTGTTCTCAAAATAATAACATTTGACGGAAAACAATTTTTCTACTAGCTCATTGGACATCGACCTATCAAATTTGACATTGTCATCTGTCAAAAATTGCCAATTTGATAGGGAGGAATTTTTATTTATAAAAAGACACAAATATGAAGCTCAATAGATATTGAATCTTCTGTAATCGTCAAAATAATAACATTTGACAGAAATCAATTTTTTCACAAGCTCATTGGACGTGGATCTATGAAATTTGATTTTGACATCTGTCAAAAATTGTCCGATTTAAGCGGGACGAATTTTTATTTATAAAAAGATACAAATTTGAAGCTCAATGGACATCGAATTATTTCTTATCGTCAAAATAATAACATTTGACGGAAAACAATTTTTCTACAAGCTCATTGGACATCGACCTATCAAATTTGACATTGTCATCTGTCAAAAATTGCCAATTTGAAAGGGAGGAATTTTTATTTATAAAAAGACACAAATATGAAGCTCAATAGATATTAAATGTTCTTTAATCGTCAAAATAATAACATTTTACAGAAATCAATTTTTTTACAAGCTCATTGGACGTCGATCTATCAAATTTGATTTTGACATCTGTCAAAAATTGCCCGATTTAAGCGGGACGAATTTTTGTTTATAAAAAGATACAAATTTGAAGCTCAATGGACATCGAATTATTTCTTATCGTCAAAATAATAACATTTGACGGGAAACAATTTTTCTACAAGCTCATTGGACATCGATCTATCAAATTTGACTTTGACATCTGTCAAAAATTGCCCAATTTAAAAGGGAGGAATTTTTATCTATAAAAAGACATAAATATGAAGCTCAATAGATATTAAATCTTCTGTAATCGTCAAAATAATAACATTTGACAGAAATAAATTTTTTTACAAGCTCATTGGATGTCGATCTATCAAATTTGATTTTGACATCTGTCAAAAATTGCCCGATTTAAGCGGGACGAATTTTTGTTTATAAAAAGATACAAATTTGAAGCTCAATGGACATCGAATTATTTCTTATCGTCAAAATAATAACATTTGACGGAAAACAATTTTTCTACTAGCTCATTGGACATCGACCTATCAAATTTGACATTGTCAAATGTCAAAAATTGCCAATTTGAAAGGGAGGAATTTTTATTTATAAAAAGACACAAATATGAATCTCAATAGATATTGAATCTTCTGTAATCGTCAAAATAATAACATTTGACAGAAATCAATTTTTTCACAAGCTCATTGGACGTCGATCTATCAAATTTGATTTTGACATCTGTCAAAAATTGCCCGATTCAAGCGGGACGAATTTTTATTTATAAAAAGATACAAATTTGAAGCTCAATGGACATCGAATTATTTCTTATCGTCAAAATAATAACATTTGACGGAAAACAATTTTTCTACAAGCTCATTGGACATCGACCTATCAAATTTGACATTGTCATCTGTCAAAAATTGCCAATTTGAAAGGGAGGAATTTTTATTTATAAAAAGACACAAATATGAAGCTCAATAGATATTAAATGTTCTTTAATCGTCAAAATAATAACATTTTACAGAAATCAATTTTTTTACAAGCTCATTGGACGTCGATCTATCAAATTTGATTTTGACATCTGTCAAAAATTGCCCGATTTAAGCGGGACGAATTTTTATTTATAAAAAGATACAAATTTGAAGCTCAATGGACATCGAATTATTTCTTATCGTCAAAATAATAACATTTGACGGAAAACAATTTTTCTACAAGCTCATTGGACATCGATCTATCAAATTTGACTTTGACATCTGTCAAAAATTGCCCAATTTGAAAGGGAGGAATTTTTATCTATAAAAAGACACAAATATGAAGCTGAATAGATATTAAATCTTCTGTAATCGTCAAAATAATAACATTTGACAGAAATCAATTTTTTTACAAGCTCATTGGACGTCGATCTATCAAATTTGATTTTGACATCTGTCAAAAATTGCCCGATTTAAGCGGGACGAATTTTTATTTATAAAAAGATACAAATTTGAAGCTCAATGGACATCGAATTATTTCTTATCGTCAAGATAATAACATTTGACGGAAAACAATTTTTCTACAAGCTCATTGGACATCGATCTATCAAATTTGACTTTGACATCTGTCAAAAATTGTCCAATTTGAAAGGGAGGAATTTTTATCTATAAAAAGACACAAATATGAAGCTCAATGGATATTGAATCTTCTGTAATCGTCAAAATAATAAAATTTGATGAAAAACAATTTTTCTACAAGCTCATTGGACATCGACCTTTCAAATTTGACTTTGACATCTGTCAAAAATTGCCCAATTTGAAAAGGACGAATTTTTATTTATAAAAAGACACAAATACGGAGCTCAATGGATATTGAATCGTCTGTAATCGTCAAAATATTTGACGGAAAACAATTTTTCTACAAGCTCTTTGGACGTCGATCTCTCAAATTTGACTTTGACATCTGTCAAAAAATGCCTACTTTAAGAGGGATGAATCTGTATCTGACCCAAATTTGAAGCTCGATCAAATGATTTATTTAATTCTCGAATCAAAAATTTCCCAATAAGGAATTTTATATTAAAAAAGAGTGATGCAAAAATAGCGCTATTTTAAAAGATACACCCTGTAACTTGCTTCAACCCTGTACAAGGTGTTTGACAAAAAAAAAAAAATATCGTAATTTCTTTGTAGGATAATCTAATTTGACATTTTTATGAACAACCTGCACCTTCTTATTTCTATGAAAATCCCAGAATACCTTACGCCAGTCACGATTTGCCATGAAACAACCAGTTTGCATCAGAATCAGATTACAAGAACCTGAAATGCCAATAATAAAAATACCGGCCGTAAATTCGCAGTCTCACCTCTCTTATATTGTTTTCCAACAAATCAGCAATCGGAAATATTAATATTTAATTAAATTAAAATTGTATTGAAACATCTATTGTGTAATGGAACAAACTTCTCATTTGGTTCCCACAATGTTGCACCAAAGAATTACCTACTATTATGTAATTCAGTAATTATTGTGAATGTTATAATGAGCAGGTACTTATTGTGCATATTGTTTTTGGAAAATTCTTCTAAAATCTAATTTTTTGACCATGCAATATAATAAATGATTTACACAATTATTATAATTCAACGGTGCATAAACTTTAATAAATAATTTCTGCATTTATCCTTGTAAATACGATTTTTTCTGTTACTGACACACTTTCCATGCGCAATTTATTTATTGTTTTTTAGTCTTATTACGACACTATTGCTGGTTGATATTAAATAAACCGTAACATGAAATTTTCAATTTTGTTTCAGATAAACCAGTAACTGCAAAAATGCTGCATTATGGGCTTTACGCTCCAAGTGATCTTAGGTATGTGTGGTGACAATTTGTTTTTCACAAAACCATTTTACATTTATTAATACCTTGAACACCGTTTAGCCTTTCCATTTGTAATGTTAAAAAGGTTAATAACTCTATTAATAATAATTCGTTTTAGGTATCCTATTCCTAACTCAAAGCTTCGGTTACAATCTGCGTGAAATCAGAGAAGCGCCGCCTCCTACGCCGCCCCCGCAACCGATCCAAAATGCTACCGAAATAAACAACCGAGACCTGAACAAAATCGTCAAAGTGAATCCAAAGACTGAAGCCCTAGACTCGAAAACTGTATATAATTTCGAAGATTTTCCCATCAAATTGGCCGAGAAAAATGAAACTAAAGAAGGAGGGGTTCATCAGATCGATAAATTTTGGTCTACAGATTTTCACAACAAAAACTATGTTTTTACATTTTCGCCATCGTCCAGACATCCTAGCTTTGATAATAACGCAGACCTCACTACACCAACTACAAAGTTGTTTGATCAAAAATTTAAAGAGAATGTTGAAAGTGTAGAGCAAAAATTAGATGAAGTAGAACTAGAAAATGATGAGCAAGACATTGAAGAGGATGATTTAAATGTAGATGATTTAATTAATAATAAGAATTCAAGTTTAGAATTTGAGAAAACAAAAACTATTGTTAATAATGAAACTATTGAGAAAAATTCAATACATAAAGATTTGAGTATTGAACAAACCAAAAAAGTTAATTTTGAAAATTTATATAATGATACAAAGATTTATGATAGTAATGTTATTACAAGTACTAGTACTACTATGGTAACTCCAACAAGAAAAAGTTCCCTTATGAAGGAAACTGTTAGCGAAAATGTACTCAGCAATAATATTGAAACTGATTTTATTAATCCTATTAAAAGTACTACAATGATTATTCCACTTAAACTTGGCACCAATGTCACCCAAAAAACCACTACAATTATGCCTGAAACAACTACATTTTTAAATAGCATGATGCAATCTGATGCTACTACAACTACTATTATACCTGAAACAACTACTACTACAGAGATAATTGATACAACTATTTTTGAGGAAATTGGTTTGAGAACTTCAAAAAGCTTAGACAAAAATGTTGCAACTAGTGAAACTACCACTAGTAGTATTAGAAATGAGCTAGACAGTACTACTTTGAATAATGGTAAACTGGCTTCAAAAATTAAAGAAATTGTTGAAACAACTACAATGCAAGACTTAACAACTACAATACAAGATTTAACAACTACAATGCAAGATTTAACAACTACAACTACAATGCAAGAATTAACAACAACCACTGAAGAAGTGGAAATTGTAACTACAACAGAATTGCCAGTAACTGAAGCTGTAACCATTATTACTACTACTGATAAACCTGTAATCATTACAACTACTACTGATAAACCTATAACCACTACAACTACTGATAAACCTGTAACAATTACTACTACAGATGAACCAGTTATTACAACAGAATTTGCATTTGTCCATATTAAAAGCACCGACAACAATCATACAACGTTACAACCAGAAATTTTAAGCTCAAATTTAAATTATTCTACTTCCAAAAAGCCTGATGAGATTCGGAAAGTTGTAGTTGATGATGTCACCACTTCTAGTTCTACAACAGTTTCAACTACTTCTACTGTAGCTGCTAATATAACAACGCCTACAATATTAGAAGAAGTGTCTGAAACTGGAACTGAAAGCTACACTAAAGATGGAGCCGAGAATCATAGCGGTAGCAACAAAGGAGTTATAGCTGCCATAGCTATTTCTTCAGTTGGAGCTGTTTGCTTGGTTTTATTAGCTGGATTATTGGTGAGAGGTTTCGTTCAACTATTAGTCTTCAATAATCAATTTTGGTTTTAGTATGTAATGAAGAAGCGCCAAAAACGTCTCAACTATGGTCCAAGATGCAGGCCTGTAAGCTTGGACGATTACAGTATCGACAATTTGTCGGTTTATAATAGTGTCAGACGAAAAGGTGGGGCTAGGATGTCAAAGAGGTCGTTTGGGAATCCTGCTTTTGAAGATCCAGTAAGTTTGCATTTTGTTTCTGTTGTCCAAAATTACCCTTATTATGGTGTGAATTTGTCCTAAAAGTGCTGCTTTTTGGCTATTTCTTATGGAATATCAAGAAAAAATGAGTGTAAAATCGCAATTCAACGAAATTTTGTGTGTTTTTTTCACTTCTTTTCAGCAGGAGTAGACTTTAAAGTAAGGATTTAACTGAAAAACAACCTAAATTGGAGTCAATAAACCACAAATTTGTCCTAAAAATTGTTCCTTTTGGCTTTTTCTTTTTAAATTACAAGAGAAAATTTTCAGAATGAGTGTAAAATTATTGCATCTTGACTACATCTTTTGTGGTTCTCGACCTAATTTATTTTCCCTATTTCTTCAAAGTCAATTTTTATTTATTCCAGGCTCTTGGATTTTTCTGATTCTTTATAAAAACCTACGGAATTCAAAGTCCTGGAACAAAGACAAATTGATACCTACTGAAAAAATTAGAAAAAGAGAAAAAATTACTTAGTGAATTCTGTTTCTATTCCAGGCTCTTGAATGTTTCTTAGGATCGGTTTAACTGTCAGGTATGTAATCTGAAGGATAAAAACCCAATCTGTAGTCTCCCATTGGTCGGCCAGTTATCCGGCGATCAATGGATTATAGAACAGTAAGTTTATCTTCTGGATAGTTACCAGCAAGTTTACCTGAAGATGAGTAAATTGGGTCTCCATTCTTTTATAAAAAAACAGAAATTCAAGAGCCTGAAATAAAGAAAAATTGATACTGAAGAAATGAGAAACAGAGAGAGAAGAAATTTAAGAAAAATTAGTAAATTGTGTTTCTATTCCAGGTTCTTGAATGTTTCTTAGGGTTGGTTTAACCCTTAGTTATGTTATCTGACGGATAAAAACGCAATCTATAATTCCATTGGTTGGCCAGTTATCAGCCGACCAATGGATTTTAGAACAATGAGTTTATCTTTCGGATACTTACCAGCAAGTTCACCTAAATATGCGTAAACCAGGCCTCATTCTCGTATAAAAACAAAGAAATTCAAGAGCCTGGAATAAAGAAATAGCGCAGCCTAACCGGTACCTGCCATCATATCTTATACATTGACAGAGCCAGTTGTAAAAAAAATTTCTAAGACTTTTGCACCTGTCAAAAATTTTGACAGCTGTCATTTTGTCTATGTTACCGTCGGAAAACAAGGAGATGTCAGGAAAATTCGGAATAAAGTGGGTTTGATTCCTGACAGTCGACTTAGTCAAAGCCAAGTTTGACATTTTGACACCTGATAACAGTTTTAAAATTTGGTTTTTCCACAATCCTCCACCAGCTTATGCGGTATATATGTAAAAAAAATTCAAAAATCTTGACAGCTGTCATTTTGTTCATTTATCTCCGAAAAAAGTGATAAGGAGATGTCAGAAAATATTGATATAAATTGCGTTCGATAGCTGGCATCCTAATCTGTCAAAATCAAATTTGCCATTTGACATTTGATACCTGTCAAAAATTTTTTCGTTCCCAATACCAGTCCCTATACGCGCGCAGAGCGTATTTATTAAAACGCCCGCAGGGCGTATTTTTTCATACGCCTATATTAGGCCTAGATGTAAAAAGCTACATATTTACAATTTTTTTCACCTGTCAAACAATTTGACAGCTATCATTTTGATAACGTTGCCTTCGTAAAAAGTGACAAGGAGATGTCAGAAAAATTCGAGATAAAGTGCGTTCAATAGACAACGACTTATTCTGTCAAAATCGATTTTGACATTTGACACCTGTCAATTTTTTTTCTTTTAATTTCTCGAATAATTTATGTGATAAATATGTAAAAAAATATTTAAAATTTTTTGGACCTGTTAAAAAATTTGACAGGTGTCATTTGTCAAAAAGTGACAAGGAGATGTCAGAAAAATTCGAAATAAAGTGAGTTCGACAGCTGACGTCCTAATCTGTCAAAATCGATTTTGACATTTGACACCTGTCACATTTTTTTTCTCTGAATTTTTCGAATAATTTATATGATAAATATGTAAAAAAATATTTACAACAGGTGTCATTTTGTCTATGTTTTCCTCGAAAAAAGTGACAAGAAGATGTCAGAAAAATTCGAAATGAAGTGCGTTCGACAGCTGACGTCCTAATCTGTCAAAATCAATTTTGGCATTTGACACTTGTCAAATTTTTTTTCTTTCAATTTGTCGAATAATTTATGTGATAAATATGTAAAAAAAAAATATATTTAAATTTTTTTGGACTTGTCAAAAAATTTGACAGGTGTTATTTTGTCTATGTTTTCTCCGAAAAAAGTGACAAGGAGATGTCAGAAAAATTCGAGATAAAGTGCGTTCGACAGCTGACATCCTAATTTGTCAAAATCGATTTTGACATTTGACACCTGTCAAATATTTTTTCTTTTAATTTTTCGAATAATTTATGTGATAGATATGTAAAAAAATATTTAAATTTTTTTGGACCTATTAAAAAATTTGACTACATACTAGGTGTCATTTTGTCTATGTTTTCCCCGAAAAAAGTGACAAGGAAATGTCAGAAAAATTCGAGATAAAGTGCGTTCGATAGCTGACGTCTTATTCTGTCAAAATCGAATTTGACATTTGACACCTGTCAAATTTTTTTCTTTTAATTTTTCGAATAATTATGTGATATGTAAAAAAATATTTAAAATTTTTTGGACCTATTAAAAAATTTGGCAGGTGTCATTTTGTCTATGTTTTCCCTGAAAAAAGTGACAAGGAGATGTCAGAAAAATTCGAGATAAAGTGCGTTGGATAGCTGACGTCTTATTCTGTCAAAATCGAATTTGACATTTGACATCTGTCGAATTTTTTTCTTTTAATTTTTCGAATAATTATGTGATAGATATGTAAAAAAATATTTAAAATTTTTTGGACCTATTAAAAAATTTGGCAGGTGTCATTTTGTCTATGTTTTCCATGAAAAAAGTGACAAGGAGATGTCAGAAAAATTCGAGATAAAGTGCGTTGGATAGCTGACGTCTTATTCTGTCAAAATCGAATTTGACATTTGACACCTGTCGAATTTTTTTCTTTTAATTTTTCGAATAATTATGTGATAGATATGTAAAAAAATATTTAAAATTTTTTGGACCTATTAAAAAATTTGGCAGGTGTCATTTTGTCTATGTTTTCTCCGAAAAAAGTGACAAGGAGATGTCAGAAAAATTCGAGATAAAGTGCGTTCGACAGCTGACATCCTAATCTGTCAAAATCGAATTTGACATTTGACACCTGTCGAATTTTTTTCTTTTAATTTTTCGAATAATTATGTGATAGATATGTAAAAAAATATTTAAAATTTTTTGGACCTATTAAAAAATTTGGCAGGTGTCATTTTGTCTATGTTTTCCCTGAAAAAAGTGACAAGGAGATGTCAGAAAAATTCGAGATAAAGTGCGTTCGATAGCTGACGTCTTATTCTGTCAAAATCGAATTTGACATTTGACACCTGTCGAATTTTTTTCTTTTAATTTTTCGAATAATTATGTGATAGATATGTAAAAAAATATTTAAAATTTTTTGGACCTATTAAAAAATTTGGCAGGTGTCATTTTGTCTATGTTTTCCATGAAAAAAGTGACAAGGAGATGTCAGAAAAATTCGAGATAAAGTGCGTTGGATAGCTGACGTCTTATTCTGTCAAAATCGAATTTGACATTTGACACCTGTCGAATTTTTTTCTTTTAATTTTTCGAATAATTATGTGATAGATATGTAAAAAAATATTTAAAATTTTTTGGACCTATTAAAAAATTTGGCAGGTGTCATTTTGTCTATGTTTTTCCTGAAAAAAGTGACAAGGAGATGTCAGAAAAATTCGAGATAAAGTGCGTTCGATAGCTGACGTCTTATTCTGTCAAAATCGAATTTGACATTTGACACCTGTCGAATTTTTTTCTTTTAATTTTTCGAATAATTATGTGATAGATATGTAAAAAAATATTTAAAATTTTTTGGACCTATTAAAAAATTTGGCAGGTGTCATTTTGTCTATGTTTTCCATGAAAAAGTGACAAGCAGATGACAGAAAAATTCGAGATAAAGTGCGTTGGATAGCTGACGTCTTATTCTGTCAAAATCGAATTTGACATTTGACACCTGTCGAATTTTTTTCTTTTAATTTTTCGAATAATTATGTGATAGATATGTAAAAAAATATTTAAAATTTTTTGGACCTATTAAAAAATTTGGCAGGTGTCATTTTGTCTATGTTTTCCCTGAAAAAAGTGACAAGGAGATGTCAGAAAAATTCGAGATAAAGTGCGTTCGATAGCTGACGTCTTATTCTGTCAAAATCGAATTTGACATTTGACACCTGTCGAATTTTTTTCTTTTAATTTTTCGAATAATTTATGTGATAGATATGTAAAGAAATATTTAAAAATTTTTGGACCTGTTAAAAAATTTGACAGGTGTCATTTTGTTTATGTTTTCCCCGAAAAAAGTGACAAGGAGATGTCAAGGCGTGAGTTATCAATGAAAACTCCCATCAAAAATTCTTCACTTACATCAATTTAATTGAAAATTTTCAAAATAGGTACTTATCTCTCTTATTATTCGATACCTTTTTTTTTCCACCAAACACTAGAAAACCAATAGAGCGCGGCTTTTTCACTCGCCAATAAAGAAACGTGAGAAATTTAAAAAAAAAAAAAAAAACAGAAATTCAAGAGCCTGGAATAAAGAAAAATTGACCCAAGTAATGAGGGAGGAGAAATTGAAGAAAAAGTTCAAAATGGGTGTAAAATTGCATTTTAACTACCTACATTTTCTGCATTTTTTAAAATTTATTTCCAATTAAAACCCTTTGAAAGTATAGTCTTAAGGTGCTTATTCAACTAGCAATTCAAAAGCCTGGAATAAAAGAAAATTGACACTAAACAATAGAAATTTAATAAGAAAAAGTCCAATATGATATTGCAACATTTCGGTTTTTTCCAAATATCTCCAAAACTATTAGGGATATCCTAAATAGAAAAGCAGCATTTTGTTAAACATCAAATTACGCAAGTTTGTCCAAATTTAACCAACCCTTTATCTCTCATCAATGATGATGAGGGCTCGATTTTGAAAAACAACCTTGGTACAATAGTGACTAAACCTTGTGGTACAGTCTCTACATTTGATTTTTTTAAAAGAAACATTATTTTTAGGTTGCTCCAACTCATCCTCTAAACTTCCAAGCCTTGTCACGATTCGCCACAAACCTCGAAGACATAAAAGCCGAATTCGAAGAAGTGCCTCAAATAACCGCCCGTACCTCAGAACTACCAGAAGGTTGCGATACCAAAAACCGCTACGCCAACGTGATACCTCTACCAGAAACCAGAGTCTATTTGAATCCAATAGATGGCTATCCAAACAGCGATTACATAAATGCCAACTATGTAACAGGCCCCAAAGACAGCAGGGGCTACTATATAGCTACACAAGGCCCAATGCAAAACACCGTAGACGACTTTTGGAGAATGATATGGGAACAACAATGTAAAGTTGTCCTAATGCTCACCCATTTGGTTGAAAACGGTTTGGAAAAGTGCGCCGATTACTTACCCGAATCTGAAGTTCTAGAATGCAGCCGGATGTTTGGCGATTTCCAAATCACCCTGAAAAAGCGCGAAGTCAAAGAAAAATACATTATTTCAAGTTTGCAATTGAAAAACATGGTTTCCAATAGTTGGAGGGAGATTACCCATTTCTGGTACTTGGGTTGGCCGGAAAAAGGAGTTCCCAGTGAAGTTAATTCTTTAATAGCTTTCTTAATTGAAGCTAGGAGTTATATGAAAACAGCAACAATTGACAAGGTAATTAGATTTTTTATTATAATTTCTGAAAATAAAACAATTTTTTTTTCTTTAGAGAGACACAATGAATGGTATCCATAATAACTTGGAGCACAATCCAGTTGTAGTACATTGTAGTCCTGGAACAGGTAGGACGGGGGTTGCAATCGCTTGCGACATCGCCATAAGAGAATTTGAAACTACACGATTGGTGGATATTCCAAAAATTGTTTATAGGATAAGACGAGATCGGGCCAATGCTATCCAAACCAAGGAGCAATACATGTTTATTTATAAAGTGAGTAGGTAATTTTGATGGTTTTTAGGTTTTAAAATTATATGTTTTTTCAGGTTGTCAGTTTGTATGCAACAAAACTAACAGGAGGAGGATTGGAGGGTGTTTAGATTATATAAGCAAATCATTATAATGAGAGATTCGATAAATGTGATATGTGTATTTTTATAGAGAATATTTTATTAATGTGTATATTTTTGCTGTGTATTTTGTTGTAGAAATTTAGTCTTAGAGATTGCAATAATTCATAGTTGTAAATAAAAATAAGATTCATTAAATCATAAGTATTATTTTCTAACAAATTCATTCCATCAAGAAATTTCCTTCGCAAGATGTTTTCATAAGACTCATCATTATCATCTGACCAATAGGGGCTCTATATAAAACCAAATAAATCTACAATAATCTATTTAAGGTAAAAACAATAAAATAAGTATGTCAGAAATACAAGTTATTCTTAATAAAATTAATACATTTTGGTCCTAATTTAGCAAGTAAACAAAATTTGCCAGAAGAAAATTCAGAGCCAGCTCTAAATCATTATTACTTATCACATTTATACAATCGGAAAAAATTCTAAAATCTATATAATACTGCTAAGTAAGAATATAATTAAAAACAATAATTTACGAATAATAAGTAAGCACAGATTGCTGATTGCCTCTTACCAACAAGGAAGGAGGCATATCTTTGGTAAGTATTTCCAGCCAAGACATGTAAAGGGGTGCGGAAATGTTACCTTTTCTCGGCATCGGAAGCGACCTAAAAAAAAATAATTTGTGATCACAATATTTACGCATTATAGAAGTGAAACTTCTTCAACAATTAGAATTAATGCTAGACTTCAATTTTGAAGCTTCTCAGGATCGACAAACTCTTGGAGGATCATATAATTAAAGAATGTTGAAACGGTGGTTATGGTACCCAAAAGTCCAGATGGTAAAAACGTGTGTGTTTGTATGAACTATCAACGCAATTATAGTGAGTGACAAGTACCCGCTAGCGCGCATGGATAATCTTCACTCGACTACGAGAACTTTTCACATGACGTGTTTGGATTTGCTTTCCGCCTATTACTGGATAAGTGTTCATGGACCTGATCGTGATAAAACAGCCTTTACTGAACTTATCGTTTTAACAGAATGCCGTTTGGACTGAAAAATGCACCTGCAACTTTTCAGCGCTTGACCAATCAGTTTCGAGGTGGACTAGGTAACTATTAGTGCTAGTGTACCTAGACGATATCTGTGTGCTCTCCAAGACTTTTGAAAAACATATCGAGGACTTAAAATTGGTGTTTTCACTTCTCCGTCAATTTAATTTACGAGCCAAATGTGAAAATTGCGAATTTGCGTGTAAGATTGTTGAATACTTTTGATTTGTAGAGAATTTAATTGGCTTTAATTGGAGCTTTATTACATTGAAATCAACTAGAAGTTAGAGGAGCTATGAGGTAAAAACTGTCTCGGTGTCATTTTTGCAAAATTTTCAATGTTCGATTGTTTCAATTTTGAAGCTTCTGAAGTGCAAAACTGTTGGAACTAAATTGAAATATTAGTTAATGGGTTTGTAGAGAATTTGATTGGCTTCAATTAGAGCTTGATTACATTGAAATGGCATGAAATATAAAAGAGCTGTGAAACAAAAACTATCTCAGTGTCATTTTTGGAAAATTTTCAATGTTCGATAAATTTAATTTTGAAGCTTCTCAGGTGCAAAATTGTTGAAATAAAAATCTGAAATGTTCGGAAGTTGTCATCCCCTTAGCAAAGAAGTTTCACTTCAAAAAAAAATCATAAGGATACTTACATTACAACTAAATTAGCATCCCGTGAATTCTCTAAAAGTAATTCTCTAAGTCTTAGTTGACGGTGAGTCTTGTCTTGGTAGGTGTTCAATTCTACTTCAGAAGTGTGACCCTCTGAAAAATTTAAAAGGAAATTTTATAAAAACTTTCTAAAATGTCAAACACCAAAATTCTACATAAAAATCTTCATAAGCACCAGGAAACACATAATTTTTCCTCCACTGCAAAGAAAAATATGGTTTCAGTTTCAAAAACTCACCATCTTTAGTGTTGGTTTCACTTTTGAATTTTTCTATAATATCATCAAACATCTCTATAGTTTCTTGTTTGGGTTTATCGCTGATTGAAACCATTTTTAGAGCGGCATAATTCAAACGGAATTTGGACAGTAAATGTGCCATACTGAAAAACATAGCTATTTATATAACAAGTACATAAAGTAAGGCTTTATTGTACGAATAATTTTATGGCCGAGCGAGCTTGTGAGCGAGGCTATTAAATAATGAGTCAATAAACCCTGTTTATGTAAGCGTTATATACATGATTTTATGTACAATTGCGACTGGTTTTTGTTAAAAATTGAAAAAATTCAATGAAAAAAGTAAAATTCGCGTAGGTATACCTGTTTCGCCTTGGCAGGTTGTCAGGACCTGTTTCACCTTGTCAGGTAGTCCAGGTAGGCAATAAAGTAGCACTTTATTTTACTAGTAAAATAAAGTAGCATTTTATTTTACTAGTACAATAAAGTGATACTCTATTGACGCAAAACTGTTCTATAAATAGCACTTTATTGGTCAATCGGACATAAAAATTTATTATGGTATCCAATTCTAATAGTAACAATTATAAGGTTTGTTCCAACATGTCAAAAAACTATTCCATGAACAGTTTTGAAACCACTTAGTACGTGAATTTCGGATTCTACACACAAATTTTAGGTTTTGCGTAGAATCGTGACGGTACATTGTACAGTTTCCTGCTGTGTTGAAACAAACCTATTATTATAAGATTCTTACTTTCTTTCTTCCAAAGCCAAGTCGTTTTTATTACTAGCCAATCCGAAAACTCGCAATTGACAATTGGACCAATCTTGTCTTGTAGAAATTATATAGGGTAGGAGCATCGTTAAGCCACCATCGTCGTATAACCACCAAACATCGATAAATCTATAAAGCAAAGATGTCAAATTTTGACTTATTTCAAAAATTAAATTTACCCTTTTCCTTGTTTCTGTCTGAACCGGTTAATGTCTTCAACGTGCAGCAATTCTTCTTGAGTCATACTGAGCACTACGTCCAATTTAACTGCACCGGATTTTTTCTTTTTTTCTTTTCTGGTCAAATTTGTTGTCGACAAAGCTGAATCTGGAATTAAGTAAAATTTATCTTTTCTATTTATTTGTTTCAATCATTAGGTAATATACAAGGTGTATCAGGTTTTAGTTGTCAAAATCTATGTCGTTTTGGTACACCCTGTATAAAAATGTAACTACACACACCGGCAAAATTAGGGGAACGGACATTTACACTAAGTTTGACATCAATTTTCTCTTGAGCCCTCCGCTCGATTTCGGTGAATTTTTCATAGATTGTAGCTTGATTCTTCAGGAACACATCTGACGTATTACCGTTATTATGATTCGTCTTTATATCATATACAGGGATGGAAAGAAAATCAGTAATTTCCAGAGTTTTTGATACACCCTGTGGAATGAACCACTGGAAGTTCAGATCAGTTCTCAACACCAAATTGTAGCCTGATCTTTTTCGAACATTTTCAATTTTGATTCACTCTGATATTTTCAATATTATTGAAAATACAGAGTTTCGAAGAAAAGGTGGATATTGACCTTAATTTTCTTCACGTCGACATACGAATTGGATATGAAAATGTGTCATTTTCCAACTTCAAGTTGTGTGTATGAATGTTTACTTCAAGTTAAATATTGCTCGCAATTTTACCTCTTACCGATCAATTTATTGTGAAAAGAAGGCTCACAAATATACAGGGGGATCAGAAAGTCCTTTTCATATTTCATGATTTCCATTTGGATGATTCCTACTGATGTGACGAGGGCTGTAGCGTTGATTGAAAATGATAGATCTTACACTCATGTAGCATGTAGCTATCGTAATGTAACACGTTGGAGGCAACTGGGATGAGAGTAGGTGAGGAGACGGGGACAAGGTAGAAAACGGACAACCACAGCTAGAGACGACATTCTTTCTGACCCCCCTGTATATTTGTTTGCATTCTTTTCACAATGAATGGATCGGTAAGAGGTAGAACTGCGAGCAATATTTAACTTGAAGTAAACATTCACACACACGACTTGAAGTTGGAAAACGATGACACATTTCCATATCCAATTCGTATGTCGACGTGAAGAAATTAAGGTCAATATCCACCTTTTCTCCGAAACTATGTATTTTCAATAATATTAAAAATATCAGAGTGAATAAAAAATGGAAATGTTCGGAAAAGATCAGGTTACAATTTGGTGTTGATAACTGTTCTGAATTTCCAGTGGTTTGTTCCACAGGGTGTCTCAATAAACTCTGAAAATTACTGACTTTCTTTCCATCCCTGTATATGATATAAAGACGAATCATCTAATAACAGTAATACGTCAGATGTATTCCTGAAGAATCAAGCTATAATTTGTCGCCTCAAAACTTCAAAAATTCTCATTTACCAGTAACATCCATAGCTCTATTCTCCTGTCCATTTTTTCCACTTTGCTGAGTAACAGCGACTCCAATATTAGTCAGACTTAAGTTCGAGTCCGAGTGCATCATAAGGGCGCTAGAGGGCGAAGTTCTCAACTCGTTGAAGAGTCTCACTGTTCCATTGACGGAATTGTCTGAAGAGTAGTTTGTTTCGTCAATGTCGATCGTTAAACTGCTGTAGTCGAGGCCTCCTTTGACATGTAGAATGGCTACTGATAAGTGATGATCAAACGCTGCACTAAAATAGGTATTTGATATTATTATACTATGTATGGGAATGGTCTAATATTCAATAAAAATGTACAATAGGCGAGTTCGGTTAATCATCAGCAAAACGATGACCGGCCCCACGTGATTAGTTCTATTAGTTCAAATGAAAGATCACGTGAGCTTTTGTCAACAGTGTCATCTTTGGCGAAGGATTAACCGAACTCGACTAATATTTCCTATCTGAGTCCTTATATTTCAAAAATAAGGACCCTATAGGGTTTTTCCAATGAAGTAGTAAGAACACTCCCTCCCGAATTTGTGCACACCATTCCTCAAACTTCCCGCAAATTCCTCCAAATTCCCAACAAATTCCTCCAAACTGCTCGCAAATGTCCTGTTACAAATTTCCTGGAAATCCCCAAAATTGTTCGTGATGAGCTTCCAAATTCCCCACAGTTTTAGCAAAGAATTCCTAAGTGGTTTGCCCCTTGAGTAAGAAGGTTTGGAATGGCCCCTTCACTATCCCTATCTCACTCAAGATTAGAGGTTAGAGTGAGAGATCCGAGAGATCCAATAGATCTCATTCTGGAATCATTTGAGCTACGCAAAAGAGAATGCCCGAATGATTTAATGGTGATTCCCTAAATGCCAAAAATCCATTTGACTTGACTTGATTTTTGGAATATGGCAACACAGCTTTTTTGTTGAAATGTCTCTTATTCCAGAACAGGCTTAAAAAAAATTTGGTAGGTGGTCCTACAGTGACTCTATAACCCACAGTGGCGACAATTGCTGTCTCATTTTTGATTGGTTCTAAAATCCCATATATTTACATTGAAAACACCGCCATCTTGTTCCCAACCCCTTGTTACTTTTAAATATGAATATATGGGATTTAGGTGAACATCCATCATAAATCATGGAAAACAACGTATTTGATGGACATGGTCATCAAATACGTCGATTTCAATTTTTTATGATAGATGTCCATTTAAATCCTATATATTAATATTTAAAAGTAACAAGAGGTTGGGAACAAGATGGCGGCGGAACCTCTATTGTCGCCACTGTATGTAAAGGTTTATTTAGCCACTGTAGGTGGGCCTACCAGCCCCCCTATCATTGAAGTCGAGGCCCTCTATAAATCTTGAATACGCTTTGTATTATCGAATGACGCATTATTACTGAAATATTCCGAAATATGAGACCCTTTTCATACATTTCAGCAAAAAAGCTCTTTATTTCAAAATCCAAGTAAAATAGAGGGTTGGCATTTAGGGGTGGAGAAGACCAATAATCTGACAATCTTTCACTGACACTGACTTGAACCCTCTACCTGGGATTCGTCTTGCATATTGATACGTGAACCCTCTATCCAGGGCCGGCTTGGGAAATATTTTCGGATCAAGTTGGAGTCCTTATATCGGCCCACTGGAGTGAGTAGTGTAGTACATCGAAGTCCGAAGTTGATCACTGCTGCGCATAGTGGAAGGGCTGACATCGGACCACTTACAAGAAACCTGAATTAAACCTAAACCTAACTATTTGTCACCACTAAAAATGCGAACTCAATTTGGGTGAGTGAGTGAAAAAGAGAAAGCACGATTGTAGAATGAATTAAACAAAAATTGAAATGGAAAAATATGTGAATATTCATATTTTTCCTATTCTAGGCTCTTGAATTTTCTTTATTGAGACAAATTCGCGAGCCGATAATAGACAAAAATTGATTTGGAAAAATTGACTACCATGGAGATTTTTGCTAAGAAAAATGACATTTCGACTCGACTACAAAACTCATTTCAAAACACTTTTCCGCACTAAAATCGAGAAATATTCGAGAAAAACCAGAGCAAAATACTACTACGGCCATTTTTGTTGAAAAACACAATTTTGAAATGGCCGCCCAAGGCCTACTTTGATGTTTATTTCGAATGGTGAAGTTAGCTGATATTACAGGGAATCAATACACCTTTACAGTCTCGTTGACATATTTTTGATAATTTTAAATATTTTATTGGTGAATATAGAAGTGAGCCCAGGCCCCTGCCGCCATATTCTTGCCAATTTTCAATATGAACATATAGGATTTCAAAATAGGACGGCAATTGTCGTTACTGTAGCTATATAACAGTTTCCACTCACCATGGGAATATATTTCCTATGAAAAATAGCATTTTATTTCAATATTCACGTGCCGATTATAGACAATCCAATTCCTCGTATCACAGGAAACATTTTCCGCACTGAAATCTAATAAAAATCGGAAAATATCCGAGAAAAACCAATGATGGCCAAAAAACACAATTTAAAAATGGCCGCCCAAGATGTTTTCGAAACGTGAAGTTAGCTAATGAATAATTTCCGTTTTACTTGATGAAAAATTAGATTTTTCTTGAAAATTCCATTCTTTGCACTTTGCACCACCCCAATAAACATTATTTTTCGTAGAAAACTAACAAAACGCAATGGGGCAATCTAACGACCTTTCAAAACATCAATTCAATATGGCGGCAATGGTCTCATGTATATAAATATCAAAATCCAATGTGGCAGTTATGGTCAAACAATGAAATTGGCACCAAAAATATCGTCTTTCTACGAGCGTGCGTAAAAGTGTACTTTTCCGCACGCATTTTAGGTCATGAAAGTACCACTTTTCCGCACTAGTGCTTTTCCGCTACTACAAAAAGTAGAATAGGTACCTAAAATTTTCAGGTATACAGGTACTCACAGGTATACAGGTATACTACAGGTACAGGTACGAAAAATATAGGTTTTTTTATGGTATATTTAGGATGTCGTCATCGAACAAGGACAGAAAATGTCAATGCCTTTTTTTTTTTCTTATAATTTACCTACCACAATGTCATGTGTCAATAATTCTGCAGACAGCTAACAATAACGAAATGAAAATGTTTATTATGCAACGTCGTGCACCGTTGCCAACCAAAAACATCTGAAATTCCCCTACTTAAAATGCGTTAAAAAGCACTTTTAGTTTTGTTAGGTTGGCAGCAAAAAATTTACTAAATGTGACGTCATCCTAAATGTAGCGTGAAAATCCTATATCTTAAATTGATAAATATGTAGGTGAAAATATTAACTTTCATCTCGTAGAAAAAATAGTGTTCCTAACTCGTGCGGAAAGTCTCTTTTCCGCACTTGATTACTTGCCGAATGACGCGCAGAAGAAAAAGAAACCCCAAAATTGTGTTCTCAACATCAATAGCGCTGTGCTACGGACATAAGGAGTAGGAACGCGCTATTTTGCTTACGGAACTAAATTGACGTTTTCAATTAAAAGAGATGGACAATAAAGTATGAAAACAATCATTTTCCCGCCAACATTTGCTTGCTTGTCAATGCCAGTGTGTATTGGGTGTTTTGAAGGAAATTGTGGGAAAAGTTACTACTTCATTTGCAGAACTTCGCTATGGAGAAAGCGGTGAATTATTTTGGAAGCAAACAGCTCCCGCAAACTAAACTTGAACGTGGATTACTTTGTATACTTGATGGGCCGTGGATTCCCTTTTTTTTTGCGAGTATTCTTTCTGATTATATGTATCCAAAATTTGACAAATGTAGGATTTGATGGGAACTTATGGAAAGACACGTTCGCCGGTAAATAGGAATTATTTTTACAAAAAGGCACACTACACAATCACCATTGTTAGGAAAAGACTTTGAAAAAACCGAGGAAATAATAGTTTCCAGTTTCCACATGTACAAAAGTCTTGTCAACAAACCACTGTCAGCGGCTGTCAACCGTTGTTTTCATACTCTTTTGGCGTCTGACAGTTTGACGCAGAGAGAGAAGCTTTTAAATTGAAAAGGTCAATAGAAGCCAAGTTTTTTGCAGGTGTTTGACACCAAAATACAGGTAAAGCATTGTTCGCGTGTGGCTAAATGCAGCTCGTGTAGGCACCGTGGTGGAATGGTAGATTGGGTAGAACAAGCAGTGTTGTTAAAAACGGTTAAATTAAACAGGCGGGTTTGACCACGGTTTGACAAGCTGTGGTTTGGCATTGGCATTAGTGAATTTTAGTCACCGCAGCCGTGGCGGTGCACCATTTTGGTGAATTTAGCAACACGCGGTGTATTGCCTATTAGGTTTGTTCAAAAAATCGTCCCAGAACGGTTTCGGAACCACTCTGTATACGAATTTCGGTTTCTGTGCAAAAATTTTAGGTTTTGCGGAGAATCCTGACGGTAATATTACGGTTTCTTGCTGGGTTGGAACAAATTTATACCGCCATTTTTTTGGTACCAAAATAGGAAAAAAACGGCTTCATTTTCCAACTCCATGTTACTACTCTTTTACTTTTACCTGTTCTAAGAAATAGAGCGTTTCGATTTGAGATGAAACGGGAAGAAAAACCATATGGAAATACACAGTTGCAATGGATACTCACTGAAGTACATTGAAGTAAGCCAACAGTTCTTCAGACTGACAATTTTGCCAGTCATTCTTGTAACCCATCAAAAGGACGTTCGGTGTTAGTTTGCCTATTCCTGTAACTTGCAATAGACCTGTGGCCCCAGTTTCGAAGTTGGTATTATCCATAGCGGCGTAAAACGCCTTGATCTTGTTGCTTTTCAGGAAAGCATACGCGTCAGACGATCTTTGAGATCTCAATTTGTGCGTGATTTTTTTCTAGAATACACAAAATGTCAAATCTTAAGTGTGGGAAAGAATCTATATACTACCTCAATAATATCACCAGCAACAAGCAACGAATGATTTTTGGTGATCAAATTGGCAAAGTCCAATAATGAGGGACGATGTTTGGGCAATCCAGACAAAACCAAAACCTGAGGCTTATAGTTTTTAACATGTTCGCCAACATTGATCAACTTCTGAGCTGTCGTTAAGGCCGTTTTGTAAGTTTGCGCTTGCGTAGATGAGCCCCAGTTGACATCTAAAAGTCTTATTTTACATTCAACTAAGTGCATAATGAAATTGTTTACCTGGATTTCTATAGACTACAACCAAATACAGTCCAAGGATAACTATGAAGGTGATTAAGGAGGTGATCCAGTTGATTAGGAACATTATTACTACGCAGGCAATGAAGCCGAATAAACTCAGCCAAGTATTGTAATACTATAGAAAAAACGTTTTTTATTGGAATATAATTGATTAGAAATTACTTACCTTGAAAGTTGGTCTCCATCCCAAAGGTTTAACCAACCCAGCATGGAAAGTACAAAAATTAATCAAAGCATAAGAAGCCAGATAAAAATTAGAAATCAACGGAGCAATGGCGTTTAGTTCCCCAATTAGCAAAAAAGCCTCAGAAACCAAAAAAGTCAACACATATCCTCGAAAAGGTTCTCCAGCTTTGCCATAACCCTTGGAAAAATAAATTAATCCAGGATAAATTTGATCGATGCCTAAAGCCTGAATCAATCTAGGTACAGATAAAAGATTTGTCAGGGCGGTACTCAGACAAGCTGCCCAGCATCCTGCGTAGATAAAGGGCCACCATGCAGACATAATTGTCATCATCTAGAACAAAGAATATTAGGACTGAACTGAATTATTACACTAAAACAAATTACTTGATAACTATTGAATAATCCATAAGTGCAACTAGTATTAGTACAAGCTGTCAAATTTCCAGCAACCAAGTCAGCAACGTTTCCGCTAGCGTCTCTCATAGCTGCGGCTCCAGCGAAAAACATAAAAAGTGCATACGACGTCATGGTGATTAATAGAGAGAGCAATGTACCTTTTGGGATAGCAGAAGCTGGATCCTAATAATAATAATTAGAGGATTTGAGCCTAAAGAATTTTATAATTACTTTTAAATCTCCAGAAATGTTAGCTCCAGCCTGAATTCCAGTCACAGACGGAAAGAAAATTGCAAACACTTGAAAAAAATCAAATTCAATCCCTTCAGTTTTTCTCCATTGAGGATTCCAATTAGTTTCCCAAACAGTTGCTAGAAAAATAATTTGAAAACTAAACATCCAATACAAACAATTCCTTACCATTAAATCCACTAAACCCTTGCGCCATTTGCAATTGATCTTGCGGTCCCATTATAGTACCGACAACAAAATCAACCATAGCGCCAGCTATAATGGCGATCAGAAAATTCTGAGCTTTACTCTCCCATTCCATGCCTACTGAACAGATGAGGATCATGACGATTGTGGCTACAGTTCCTACGACTCTTGCGTCGTTTACGCCGCCGTCGAACATTACTATGTTGTACCTGCTCAGAAGGTCGCTGAGCGAATTGCAAAATCCTATAGTGTTCATCGAAGCTGATACAGCGTTGGCAAAGGCGAACACTATGCCTACTGAAGCTCCGAATTCGGGGCCTAGTGATCTTGATATTATGTAGTAGATGCCACCTGGAATGGTATTTGTATGTTTGAGGTTTGAAATAATTAAAACAATATTATCAAGACAAACTTCGAATTACAATGCAAAAAAGAAGAAAATTAGTAAAGTACAAAAGGGATGATTGCTTTTTTTGTATTGAGTCTTATTTCACTAAAGAGTAATTGCTAGATTTTGCTTCTAAAGTCAGAGAAACTTTTTAAAAGATCAGGCCAAAATCGTGGTTTACTTCAAACTTCTACAAATTATAACTCAAAACTAGTCCAATTAGATTTTGAATAAATTAATGGAGAGACTTTAAAAGTTTGATTTGAATAGAGCTTTGTGAAGGAAAAATTCAATATTTTTTAATTTAAAAGTTTCCATTTTGTTTGATTTCCAGAGTTTTGGAAATTGAAAACGAACTTTGCATGTGAGGTGAATTTTTCAATTTTCTGGCGTCTTTTTTTCAAAGATTTTGGTCAGGAAAACCCCACTCAGTCAGTTGTTCTCAAGTCAGCATTTCATTTGAACAACATGATAATGAGGAAATTGCTACGAAGTTCTGTTTCTCATTTCTTCAGTATCAATTTTTCTTTATTCCAGGTTCTTGAATCTCTGTTTCTTTATAAAGTATGAGGCCCGGTTTACTGATCTTCAGGTAAATAAGTAGCTGGTAACTATCTGGAAGATAAAATTACTTTTCTATAATCCATTGGTCGGCGGATAACTGGTCGGCCAATGGGATTACAGATTGCGTTTTTATCCTTCAAATTACATACCTGACATCAGTTAAACCGACCCTAAGAAATATTCAAGAGCCTGGAATAGAAACAGAATTTACAAATTTTTCATAAATTTCTTTTCTCTGTTTCTCATTTCTTCAATATCAATTATGTATTACCAAATCCTATAGTAAAAGGCTTCAATTGCAAACATGTTGATTTTAGTTGTTGAAATAGAGCATTTTTTTTGAACAAGTTGAAATAAAGCCCAATCAATGCTCATATTGAAAATGAAGCATTTTTAACATGTTCAAAATGAACCTGCTACTAAAGAAATGCTGTACATCAGATGATAATCTCAAGAAGGCATTCAAGTAACGAAGATCGAACAACAAAATTCTTTAATTGAAGTTGAAGTATTTTTAACTACAATATAAAACATGAGTGGTACTACTTCAAAAAACGAAGTTTTATATTGAAGATGAAGCATTTTGAACAGGTCAAAAACGAGATATTTTGAACATGTTGAAAAACAAGTAAGGTATCAACATTTTGAAAGATTATTGCCAAATTCTATAGTAAAAGACTTCATTTGCAGGGATGCTGATTTAAGTTGTTGAACATAAAGCATTTTTTTTTGAATAAGTTGATAATGAAACACAAAATGGAGATGAATCATTTTTAACTCGTTCAAAATAAACCTACCAAAGAAAAGCTGTACGGATGATAATCTCAAGAAGGGATAAATCACTATAAAGAGCGAAGAGCAAAATTCTTCTAAAACTGAAGTTGAAATATTTTTAACTACAATAAACCATGAGTGGTGCTTTAAAAAATGAAGATTTACGTTGAAGATGAAGCATTTTGAACTGGTCAAAATTAAAATATTCAAGTTTTGATTATTACTAAGGAAGTACAAAAAGAAAATATACCTATGTGACATTTAAAGGAGAATTCCCAAGGACGTCCAAGAAAAACTCGCTGAAATTTTCAGCGATTCTTATCCCAGTAGAGGACTACAATCCCTGAAAATTTCAGCTCATTTGGACTTATAGTTTCAGAAATAAAATCGCGTTAAGCAATTTGGGGTAAATTTATGAATTTCTAAATTTTTTGAGTGCCTTTTTTCATAGATTTAGGCTTCAAATCTCAGAATAATTTAGTGCATGGAGTTTGGGGGGTCACCAATGATCATTTAAACACAAAATCTCAACATCAAAAAATTTGAAATTTCATCATTTTAGTACTAAGGTAGCTACCTGATGATTTGGATTTTTAAAAACTTTGAAAACCCATAATTTTTTTTCTATTATAGATAAAAAGCTGAAATTTTCAGCGATTTTTATCCCAGTAGAGGACTACAATCCTTGAAAATTTCAGCTTATTTGGACTTATAGTTTCAGAAATAAAATCGCGTAAAGCAATTTGGGGTATATTTATCAATTTTCCAATTTTCTGAGTGCCTTTTTTTATAGATTTAGGCTTCAAATCTCAGAATAATTTAGTGGTTGGAGTTTGGGGGATCCCAAAGGACCATTAGGACATAATATCTCAACCTAAACCTTATGATTTAGATTTTTAAAAATTTTGAAGACCCATAACTTTTTTTCTATTATAGATAGAGACCTGAAATTTTCAGCTATTCTTATCCCAGTAGAGGACCACAATTCCTGGAAATTTGAACTACCTCTTGATTGTCTAGAGAAATTTTCCAACAGCTCAAGAGCCGGTAATAATCAAAATATGAACTGCTACCGGCTCTTGATTGTCTAGAAAAATTACAGAGCGACTCCTAGTAGAACTAGACAGAATATCTTGAAAATCATCACATAACACTTTAGAACTTAAAACTTCTATGAACATATAGGAACACTCTAGAACACTTCAATAGGGAGCATCAAAGAATGCTTATGAAGACTATTTGAGAGATTTTTAGAACATTTCGGAGCTTCAACAGTAGTTATGGAGTTTCAGAATTTTATTTTAATTTTCTCTCTGTAAAAAAATAATCCATTTACAATCCATCCAAAAACCAAACTAAAGAAAATTGTTTGCCAACCCTGCCTATGCAAATAAAACATTTTGAACTTGTTAAAATTTCAACACAATCCAATATCATTTATCTACGTCATAGAATCAATGTCGTCATTTATCCATTAATACTCACGACGAAAACATTTAATTTAATAATTTCAATTACGAAATGGCAAATGCCAGAAGTTATTAGTAAACCCCATTCAAATATCCGTTTGTAGCAAACGAGGAAAATAAATTAAGTTTGTGAAGGAGACAATGAAAACACATCATTAGTAATATCTGAATATTGCTTACCTCCTTTTACTTCACCATTGGTACAAATAGCTGACAAAGACAACGTAGTAATGACGCATACAACTGCCGACATCACAATAATGACCAACGAAAGCCCTAAAAAACAAAAATTAATTTTATTAAAAGTAGTCACACTGTATGGGTATCAAATAACAAAGTTGTTTACCGATTTCGTTATACCTAATTGATCCTACGAAAACACTTAAGAAATTGAAAATTCAAAACGTCCCACTTTTTTTTTTTTTTTGATTTACACACTCAATTTTCCAGTCAAGAGTCAATTTTGCGTTTCCAATTAATTTTCCATTTAAAATGGAAAATTGCATTTTGATCGATAATCCACCTAATAATAATTGAAGTTGTCCAGCAATTGAGAGGCACTAAAATTTTGCATTTCAGCAACCTCATAGAGCAAAAAGGGCATAAATTTGAAATTCCATTATTTTTCTTCCTTCGTCTATTATTAACATAAGAAACAAATATCGAATTTCAAATTGAATCAAAACAAAAAAAATTTATTTTGTGATGTAATTCACAAGGTAGTAGAATTTGTTAAAAAAAAACCATTAGTAAGTCGTAGTCGATGGGTATAATAAGTCCAACAACCATAAAGCAGATCATACCGGATTGTACCAACCAAAGCCCAAGCTGGGTGAATAAAAGTTTATTACATTTTCCTTTAAATTATCATATATGGTATTTATTCTAAATTTACAATGCAATTAAAGCATTGTTCTCGATAATAATAAAGGCGGAAATAATTTCAGGTGTTTATTGCTGTAGATGCAATAATTATTAATATTTAAAATATTGTCGCAATTTTTTTTTTTTATATCGTTTAATTGCAATTACTTTTATTTATCATTAGAGTCAGAGGAAATTGATATACCTACGGTTTTACATTAAAATTTACTTTTGAAACCATCTCATTGCCTATTATAGTCATTTTTTTGACGAAATTCTAATAGACCAGTCAAGGGATTTATTCTCGAAACTAACGTACGATTGGTCTGTCTTTGTCAGTGTTGAGCAAATAGAAATATATGGGCAACAAGGATAGAATACTCAAAAATGCTTTGAGTTAATTATAAAAAGAGTCAATTTTTTGTTATTCCTGGGTCCTTATTCTTGAAACAGGGAGCAACGTTCTCATTAGAACGAGTGTTCTGTCTTTGTTACTTATATTATCATTTGCGTATCATTGAGAGAGACGGAACACTCGTGCTCCTGAAAACGTTGCTCTCCTGTTTCAAGAATAAAGACCCTCTGGGAACGTTGCTCCCCTGTTTCCTGAATAAGGACTCTGGCGCTTGAGTCGTCTTGCACTAATCATTGTTATGTCAATGTAATAATAAGGACAGCAATAAGAGAAATTCAATGAACAAGAGAGGGAAACAGACAAAGTAGGAATATTCTCGGCGCTTGAGTGGCCTTGTATTTCTTGTGTTTAAACAATAAAGAGCCTGAAATGATAATGTGAGAAACACTGATATAAGAAATTCCACGTGTAAAAGAAAAAGACACAGATAAAGAAATAAGAAGACAAACATTATGAAACGAATTTGGATTATTCTCGGTGCTTGAATGGTATTGTAATAATTATTGTTATACAAAGAACAGCGACATAAGAAATTCAATGAATAAGAGTGAGACAAAAATAAAGTGGGAAAAACTAATTTCTATTGTTCTTAGTAATTGAGTGGACTCGTGATTGTTGTAACTGGCCAATTAAAAACTTGGAATGATAAGGTAAAAGACAGCGATATAAGAAATTCAATGAGCCAGAGAGGGAAATAGAGAAAGTAAGAATATTCTCGGCGCTTGATGAGTGGCCTTGTATTTCTTGTGCTAAAACAGTAAAGAGTCTGAAATTATAAGGTGAGAAACATTGATATAAGAAATTCCACGTGTAAAAGAAAAAGACACAGATAAAGAAGTAAAAAGACAAAAATTATAAATCGATTTTGGATTATTCTCGGTGCTTGAGTGGTATTGTAATAATTATTGTTATACAAAGAACAGCGACATAAGAAATTCAACAAATAAGAGTGAGACAAAAATAAAGTGGGAAAAACTAATTTCTATTGTTCTTAGTACTTGAGTGGACTCGTGATTGTTGTGCCTGACCAATAAAAAACTTGGAATAACAAACGAAAAGACAACGATATAAGAAATTCAATAAACAAGAGAGAGAAACAGACAAAGTAGGAATATTCTCGGCGCTTGAGTGGCCTTGTATTTCTTGTGTTTAAACAATAGAGAGCCTGAAATGATAAAGTGAGAAACACTGATATAAGAAATTCCACGTGTAAAAGAAAAAGACACAGATAAAGAAGTAGGAAGACAAAAATTATGAATCGATTTTGGATTATTCTCGGTGCTTGACTGGTATTGTAATAATTATTGTTATACAAAGAACAGCGACATAAGAAATTCAACGAATAAGAGTGAGACAAAAATAAAGTGGGAAAAACTAATTTCTATTGTTCTTAGCAATTGAGTGGACTCGTGTTTGTTGTGCCTGGCCAATAAAAAACTTGGAATGATAAAGTAAAAGACAGCGATATAAGAAATGTAATGAGCAAGAGAGGGAAACAGACAAAGTAGGAATATTCTCGGCTCTTGAGTGGCCTTGTATTTCTTGTGTTTAAACAATAAAGAGTCTGAAATGATAAAGTGAGAAACATTGATACCTATAAGAAATTCCACGTATAAAAGAAAAAGACACAGATAAAGAAGTAGGAAGATAAAAATATAAATCGATTTTGGATTATTCTCGGCGCTTGAGTGGTATTGTAATAATTATTGTTAAACAAAGGACAGCGACATAAGAAATTCAATGGATAAGAGTGAGACAAAAATAAAGTGGGAAAGACTAATTACTATTGTTCTTAGTAACTGAGTGGACTCGTGATTGTTGTGCCTGGCCAATAAAAAACTAGGAATGATAAGGTAAAAGACAGCGATATAAGAAATTCAATGAGCCAGAGAGGGAAATAGAGAAAGTAGGAATATTCTCGGCGCTTGATGAGTGGCCTTGTATTTCTTGTGTTTGAACAGTAAAGAGCCTGAAATTATAAAGTGAGAAACACTGATATAAGAAATTCCACGTGTGAAAGAAAAAGACACAAATAAGGAAGTAGGAAAACAAAAACTATAAATCGATTTTGGATTATTCTCGACGCTTGAGTGGTATTATTGTAATAGTTATTGTTATGCAAAGAACAGCGACATAAAAAATTCAACGAATAAGAGTGAGACAAAAATAAAGTGAGAAAAACTAATTTCTATTGTTCTTAGTAATTGAATGGACTCGTGATTGTTATGCCTGGCCTGGCCAATAAAAAACTTGGAATGGTAAAGTAAAAGACAGCGATATAAGAAATTTAATAAGCAAGAGAGGGAAAGATGCAAAATAGGAATATCCTCGGCGCTTGAGTGGCCTTGTAATTCTTGTGTTTGAACAATGAAGAGCCTGGAATAAAATTATAAAGTGAGAAACACCGATATAAGAAATTCAAAGAGTAAAAGAAAAAGAAACAGACAAAGAAGTAGGAAAATAAAAAGTGTGAGTGGATTTTGGATTATTATTGGGGTTTGAGTGGGCTTGTAGCAATTATTGTTATGTTAATGTAATAATAAGGACAGCGACATAAGAAATTCAAAGAATAAAAGTGAGACAAAAATAAAGTGGAAAAAACTAATTTCTATTGTTCTTAGTAATTGAATGGACTCGTGATTGTTATGCCTGGCCTGGCCAATAAAAAACTTGGAATGGTAAAGTAAAAGACAGCGATATAAGAAATTTAATAAGCAAGAGAGGGAAAGATGCAAAATAGGAATATCCTCGGCGCTTGAGTGGCCTTGTAATTCTTGTGTTTGAACAATGAAGAGCCTGGAATAAAATTATAAAGTGAGAAAAACCGATATAAGAAATTCAAAGAGTAAAAGAAAAAGAAACAGACAAAGAAGTAGGAAAATAAAAAGCGTGAGTGGATTTTGGATTATTATTGGGGTTTGAGTGGGCTTGTAGCAATTATTGTTATGTTAATGTAATAATAAGGACAGCGACATAAGAAATTCAAAGAATAAAAGTGAGACAAAAATAAAGTGGAAAAAACTAATTTCTATTGTTCTTAGTAATTGAATGGACTCGTGATTGTTATGCCTGGCCTGGCCAATAAAAAACTTGGAATGGTAAAGTAAAAGACAGCGATATAAGAAATTTAATAAGCAAGAGAGGGAAAGATGCAAAATAGGAATATCCTCGGCGCTTGAGTGGCCTTGTAATTCTTGTGTTTGAACAATGAAGAGCCTGGAATAAAATTATAAAGTAAGAAAAACCGATATAAGAAATTCAAAGAGTAAAAGAAAAAGAAACAGACAAAGAAGTAGGAAAATAAAAAGCGTGAGTGGATTTTGGATTATTATTGGGGTTTGAGTGGGCTTGTAGCAATTATTGTTATGTTAATGTAATAATAAGGACAGCGACATAAGAAATTCAAAGAATAAAAGTGAGACAAAAATAAAGTGGAAAAAACTAATTTCTATTGTTCTTAGTAATTGAATGGACTCGTGATTGTTATGCCTGGCCTGGCCAATAAAAAACTTGGAATGGTAAAGTAAAAGACAGCGATATAAGAAATTTAATAAGCAAGAGAGGGAAAGATGCAAAATAGGAATATCCTCGGCGCTTGAGTGGCCTTGTAATTCTTGTGTTTGAACAATGAAGAGCCTGGAATAAAATTATAAAGTGAGAAACACCGATATAAGAAATTCAAAGAGTAAAAGAAAAAGAAACAGACAAAGAAGTAGGAAAATAAAAAGTGTGAGTGGATTTTGGATTATTCTTGGGGCTTGAGTGGGCTTGTAACAATTATTGTTATGTTAATGTAATAATAAGGACAGCGACATAAGAAATTCAAAGAATAAAAGTGAGACAAAAATAAAGTGGGAAAAGTTAATGTTGATTGTTTTTCATACTGAGTTGGCTCATGATTGTTGCGTCTGGCCAATAAAAAAAACTCTTAGAATGTCAAAGAAAAAGACAGCGATATAAGAAATTCGATGAACAAGACAGGGAAACAGACAAAATAGGATTATTCTAGGCGCTTGAGTGGCCTTGTGAAAATTATTGTTATATAAAATGTTAATGTAATAATAAGAACAGCGACATAAGAAATTCAATGAACAAGAGTGAGACAAAAATAAAGTGGGAAAAATTATTTGCGATTGTTCCTAGTGCGGTTGAGTTGGCTCATGATTGGCCAATAAAAAACTTGGAATGACGAAGAAAAAGACAGCGATATAAGAAATTCAATGAGCAAGAAAGGAAAACTGATAAAGTAGGATTATTCTTACCGATTCCAGCTTCAGCAACGACCCAAGACAGTCTGAGAAAGAGCATAACTCCAAAAATGTTGAGCATACAAGGGATGAGTACGCCTTGGATCCATCCCAATTTGATGCCGACGTGCGGAGCCGGTTGATCTTTGGAGTCAGCATTATCAGACGATTTTTCCTAGAAAATATTTGCACATGCATTACACGATCAATCTGTTCGCACAGCAATCAAAAACCAGCCAGAGCGAATTTCATTGGTTGAAAACAGTTAGAAAACTAGTTTCAACCAATGAAATTCACTAGTTTGTAATTGCTGTGCGAACAGACCTATGTATAATATTTGTCATATGGGTATTACCAAAAATTTAGTATTACTTTGAATTGATTTGTAACTGGTTGCATCAAAAATCAATTAGCTTTAATTATTGTATACCCCCATAATTTGTAATAATGCTAATTCCAATTAGAAAACCCATTAGATATCAATCTGTATTAATTGTTTTCTAATCGATAGATTCAACAAATAAACACTCATCGTAACAATAACACACTATTTTAAATTGAAATACATTCGCACTTGATTAGGTATAGACTAGTATAGAGAGAAAAGAAAACGCTAATGGTTTTGGGTTAATTGAATTTTGATTGGGTTCAATATTATAAACTAGTCCAATTTACTTATTCTCGAAGCTTAAAAAATTATAGGACAACCAATCATATAGGCATTCAAAGAAATGGTAATAGTAAATTGCCCTAGTGACTTCTATTAAAATTTGAACAAATCAAAATAAATTAAACACTATTCAATTCTCTATAAATCTGTGTTTAAAATAAGAAACTAATTCAACCCCCAACTGTGAATAAATTTAGTTATCAAATGAATCAAGTTTGCTCCATTAATTCTCTCCAATAACAAAGTCCAATTTGATTTTCATCTCGGATCCATTTAATCAAATTTGTTAAAGCTGTTTACTCTATTCTCTCTAGGAGATTTGCCATTTAATGGAAATGTAAGAAAGAATAGAATAATTTGATTGAGAATATTCTTACTTTAGTGTAATCTTCAGTCCCATGCAATTCTCCCAACGATGGTCTTTTAACCGCTCTCCTAGAGTTGCGGTAGTTTTCCAACCTTGGTAAAACTTCTTTGGTGATTTGCACTATACTTTTCCGGCGCTTTTTGTCCTGGTTGTGGTCCAAACCGGTACGGTTTTTGAAGGTACCGGTACCGTTTTCTTGCATTTGGAAGGCGCCGTTTTCGTAAAATGGTTGCTGACCTGGACGATTGAATAACCGATTGTCTTTGGGATTTGTTGTCGTTTCCATGATTGGATTTGTTCAACAGGTTCGAGCTTATTGTTTCATTAAGTTGTCGGTCAAACTGTAAAATATGGTTAAACAGAATTTTTTATTGAATTTGAAAAATAATAAATAATATGGGAGTTCATTTACAATCGTGGAAAAAAGAAAAAAAAAACTTACTTTGGACTTCAATAAGGAAATAAAAAAGGAACCACACAATTATTAGAATTTTCAAAAAACTTCTTATGACTTTGTTGCACACACAATGTACCTACATTTTTGTCTCAAACTATTTTGAAAAACTCACTCTAGAAAAATAGAGTTCAAAATTCCCAAGAGCGCGAAGAGCGACAAAGCTTTTAGAGCTTTCGCATACAACTGTGGGAGGATAAAGGGCGAAAATTCGATCAAAAGGAAATTTTAGCAGTAGGGAGGTGGAACGAAAATAAGACAAGACAATAATTAAAAATAAACAGGCAGCAAAGTTAAATTACATAAAAGTAGACAATTTATTGTAAATTTTATTTGCACATAATAAAGTATCGAGCAGATCCAAATTAATTTAAATGAAAATGCAAATAAATAATAAAAATAATTAACGAAACAGGATTTCCAAACAGGTGCTAAATAAATTTTATATTGTATTCCTTGACTATGACCTCAAACTAGTTTATGGCTTTATTTGTCCTTTTTAGCTTAATTTATGCAACTTTGATTTTCAGTCATGAGAGAAGCAACAGTTTCGTTTTTGATTTAACTTTACAAGGTCTTTGATCGTTGAATGACATCCTCATTCATGTAGTAGTGCTCTCATCCCTGACCCTGACATCTTCGTTTATACCTGATTATAATGTTCATTTAATTTTTGCAGCTGATTTAATGGGTTTTTATCAGTTTTGGTTGTTTTATTCACAAAATTCGTTGCAAATCAATTTGGAAGTTACTGAAAACCATTTAGAACACTTTAGAACTTTAATATGCATCCAGAACAGTTCAAATCTAAATCTAAATCTCGATAAATATTTAAGAACAATTTAGAACTGGAAACTTTTTAGAACTCTTTTGAACCAATTTGAAACACTTTGAAGTTTTAATAGGGCTCTAAAATACAATACAAAGCCAGAATAACAATGAAAAACGTGAAAAATTTGAAAATAAACGCCAAAAGACAGTAGATAACTCATATAATGAGCCTAAAAAGTTTTATAAAACTCTGCAACTATAGAGAAATATAAGGTCCATTTCATCTCTAATAAAAACAAGAAATATTTTAAAAAGAATAATAGAAAATTATAAAATAAAATAACAACAATATTACATTACCTCTCTACTAAAAATTATAAAATATGTGTCACTATAAACTAAACTTCTCACTCCTCACTTAAATTCACTCTAAGTCTAAACCACTACTACTCCGGAATGGTCCAATCGCTCCAACGGTGTGAACGACAGCGAATGAAACGTAAATTTTGATTGTCGCGATTCTCGGCTAATAAATGAACAGTTTTTAAGATAAGCACATGATTTTATGTGATTGGATTTTATTAAGGGTGGAGCTCGTATAGTATTTCGAAAATATATTGGTCAGTACCTATAACAATCAAAATTTGAATTATTAGAGGCTCTTAAATTTGTTGAATTTTTTTTTTTTGAGCCGGTAATGATCAAAATTTGCACTTAAAACTGATAGATTTTCTCTTTGAAAAAATTTCGAGCAAATCAAAAACCAGTAATAATCAATATTTAGATTGTTTCGGGTCTTTGATTGGTCTTGGAAAAATAATTCAGCAAATCAACCAGTACCAGCAATCAAAATTTGAATTAGGTATTACAGAGCCAATCAAGAGTCGGCAATGATGAAAATTTGAGCTCATAACTCATAGATTTTCCTGTTTAAAAAATGTTCAGCAAATCAACGACCAATAAGAATCAATACTTAAACTGTTTTTGGTCCTTTCAGCAAATCATGAAACCCAGTAGCAATCAAAATTTGAATCATTACAGGCTCTTGATTTGTTGAACAGTTTTTTTAAAGCCGGTCAAAAGCAGAGCTGGGATCGTTACTTGAAAAAAGTAACGCGTTACTTTACAGTTATTTTTGCTTAAAAATAACTCGTTACTTAAAATTTACAGTTACTTTCGAATAATGACAACTTTATTTTGGTTACTTATTGGAAAGTAACGCATTACTGTAACTTCTTTACTTTAGAAGTAGTTCGTTACTTAAAAGTAACTCGTTATTTGAAAGTAACCCGTTACCTCAATGCGTTAGTTTGAAATAAAGCGCTACTTTTAAATAAAGCATTACTTTTAAAGTAACGCGTTACTTCAAAAATAACGTCGAAAATTGCGTTATTCCTTAATTTGACTCACCAACACAGCAGTCCAAACAATCAATTAAGACCTATACAAAATGCCAATATGTTTTTAGTTTGTGAGTCCAACTATGTGAAAGAGTTCTGTTGCAAAATTCAAACTGATTAAGGATTAAGCGACTAAATAGAAAACTTGGTTTCGGACAAACCTGCTTTTTGAAGCGTCCCATCAGTGTTTGCATATAGTGTCTTTAGAGCAGAGGCGGCGCGTGCCACGCCCAAAAACGATTATTTTGAGCTTTCAAAACAAATTTTCTGTACTACCCATATTTTATTTGACATACAAAGTTTTTGGATTCCTCTTTTTCCTTTTCCTCAATCGTCAATTATTTGTAAAGAAGGTAAAAAGATTATGAGAACGCGTTACTTTCATAGTTACTAGTAACGCGTTACTTCCATATAAACGCGTTATTTTCATAGTAACTCGTTACTTTAACAAAATAACGATCTGCAGTTACTTCAGGAAAGTAACGTCGTTACAGTTACTTATCAATCAATCTGAAAAGTAATGAAGTTACCAGGGGCGCCGACTACGTGGGTGCTCGGGGGCACCGACTACAGTGGGTGCGAAGCACCCACGAGCATAGACTTAAAAACTGATAATCCCTCTTTAGTTCCTGGAAAACTGGTTAATTTTGTACCTCGGGTTCCCAAAATCTGGTTAACCAAATGTCAAAATAGTTACCGGCCATCGGATGTCGGTTCTGTTGGTTTTATCAAGGTTTTATCTGTAACTTCTGTCAATTATGTTTTATTTCCATATTTGCGTTCCCCAAAGTAACCGGAATTTTCAGTAAACATCTATTGACCGATTCGGTTACTTTAGCTCTGTTCCAATAGACATGAAAACCTTTCTAGAACGGTAATTTCCAATCGATCAATCCATTTGTCAATTAGGAAAAACGTTCAACTTATTGAAAAATAGGTGGGCAACTGGAAATGATTGGTTCTGGAACGGTTCTCATGTTTGTTGCAACAGAGCTAATGGTTAACGTTTGGTTATATTTGGATCATAGTCTTATATAGGTTATGTTCCGATATTAACTCTGTCAGTACTGAATTTACTGGACGCCGTTCCGATATTATTTTCAGTAGGTACACTGGATTCAGTACTGAATGACCACAAGAGTACCCTGTTGAAATTGGAACGGCAAATGACAGTAAAATCAGCACAGTAAATCCAGTACTGGCAGTTGATATCAGAACATGGTGGTACTTTGTTTAGAAGAAGAAGAAGATGAAGAAAATCTTTCTTGAAGAACAGCGTAAAACGCAGATTTTCGGTACATTCTGCTTGGAAAAGAATATCTGCAGGAGAGTTTTCCACACTTTACAGTAGAGTGTTTTCACAGCTATCAGACCAATACCCACCTCTACCACGTAAAAACTCCCCTCCAGCACCACTAAAGTTCGCCTTACGAGTCTAGCACTATGGAAAGAATGCGAATAAAAAAATTGCAATATTGCCTATTTGACTTCCAATAAGAAATACCTTAATATTTATTTATATTATACACCTACATTTATAAGAAAAAAAGTAATATTCAAAAACGTTGCACGCTCGTCTATGACAGGCAGCATAAAGCTCGAAATGAATGTCGTTATGTCCCCTTGCTCTTCAGACGTCGTAGTGCTAGACTCGTAAGGCGGACTTTACCCAGCTCCACTGTACCCCCTTCCGTGAAGCTCCTATCCTGAGGAGGCACTTTTTACCCACCTGCACTGTAAACCCTCTTCCGTAAAGTCCTCCATTAATCTATTTTCAAAAGGCTCTTACCCTGAGATGGCACTTTATTATATCCCTTCACTTTCTTGAAAACTAAAGAATACTCAACCAATTCTTCCATTTGTATTCGAATTCGTCAATTTTGGGGTCGGCCCGGGTCAAATCCCCAAAATTTCAGATCAAAAGAGCCGCCGATCTAGAGATTTTCCCACGGTATCGAAAAACTTCCCAGGCTCAAGAGCTTCTGGCGTGGCTTCTGGAGAAGTTTTTTCGCCACCGGCGGGCTGTTCACCCCCCCTCATAAATGCCGGTGCATGAATATCAGTACCCACGAGGTTTTCTGAAACCCGGCGCCCCTGGAAGTTACCAAGTAACGCGTTACTTTCATCAGTAACTCGTTAAAATAAAGTAACTATTTTTTGTCGTTACTCCCAGCTCTGGTCAAGAGCCGATAATGATCAAAACTTGGACACATAACTATAGTAGATTTCTTCTTTCAAAAATGTCCGGCAAATCAAGAACTAGTACCTATAAATCAATAGTTAGAGTGTTTTGGGTCTTTGATTGGCCTTGGAAAAATAATTCAATTTGCTGAACAATTTTTTTGAAGCCGATCAAGTAGTGATGTGATATCGCTCGATACTATCGATGTCAATAAAAAATCGATTGAAAAATATCGATGATTTGAAACATCGATGTTCAATGTTGAGTTGAAATTACGTTTCTCTAGTTATTTTTTGGTATTCTTGTAACAATACTGATTGAAAACACATTAACATTTATAAAAAAAAAGATAGGTACAAGACAAGAATAAACATTCTTCTGAAAGAAAAGCAAAAACACGAATAAAATAATTACAGGATGAATAGGAATCAAATGATATAAACACCAAAACTACTTTCAATCCTCGAGTTTTCAAAAAATATGACCTCTACAACAAATTGTGCAAATAACAGAGCTGATAATTTTTTCCTTGTCCTTTCAGTCTATTTCTTTTCTGAGTGTAGGTTTGGCATACTTTTCACAATATCCAATATCGATAGTTCAAACATCGATATGTCGATGTTTTGTAACTTCTGACATCGATGCTAAAACATCGTTCACACATTATGTTCACGATACATCGATGTTCAAGTCTCATCACTAGGATCTAGAACCGATAATGATCAAAGCTTGGACACATAACTAACTCAGGGGCGGAAACAGGCCTTTTGAAAGGGTGGGGGGGCAGTTTAAGTTAAAGTAAGCCAGATTGGGTTAGTTTGGGTTAGTTTTGGCAGCGCATTGTGCAAGATACGGGTTTTCAAAGGAATGGCCCATAAAAATATGAGAATGGGGGAACTATTTAGGAGAATAAGGTGATTTTAAATAGGTAGGTACAGGGTGTTTTTTTATATATTGACACCCCACCTACAGCCTTTACCTTTACAGGTAAAAGAAAGGTGTACAGTTTTGGCTGAATTTTTAGAAACCATGGTCAGAAACAAAAATTGAATGTCAGAAATGTGAAATTTTGCATGCTTCCAGCTTTTTTCAAATGGGATGCCCTATATTTCATTCTATATTCTTGAAGAGCACAATGCCCCGATTCCAAAAATATATAATTTGTCTATATTTGATTGAACAGTTTCTCATATGTTCGGCTCCAAAAATTGTAATAGCTATTTACCTAACAAGTGCGGAAAATGAATTTCTCCGCAAGTGTTACTTTTTGTTAATTTGCCTTTCAACAGAAATTAGTAATGTTATCTACTTTACCAAACTAGTAACATAATATGACAAAGTTATTCAAGGACAAACGAGTGGATTGTTGCGGAACTTATGGGTGGACCTCTGCGGGACGAGCGTAGCGAGTTCCGCAGCCATCTATTCATCAATATGTTGTTTAATTACGATACTAAACTGACTCACTCAAATGTGCGTTATTCTCATTAGTTTAAAAATTACACGTTTTAGGTGAATGTTTTTTACTTGAACAGTTCAATAGTATATTGGTGATTAGATGGCTGCGGAACTCGCTGCGCTCGTCCCGCAGAGGTCCACCCATAAGTTCCGGAACAATCCACTTATTTGTACTTGAGCAATCACTTATTATATAAAGTCAGAATTTGTAAAATCATCCACTTTTTGTCATTTGGCCTTTTAACAGGAATTAGTAATATAATGTGACAAGTTATTCGAGTATAAACGAGTGGATTGTTGCTGAACTTATGGTGGACCATCTATTCATTAATACGTTGTTTAAATACGATACTAACCTAACTCACTCAAATGTCAGTTATTCTCATTAGTTCAAAAATTACAAGTTTCAGGTGAGCATCTTATTTGAATAGTTCAACAGTATATTGGTGAGTAGATGGCTGCGAAACTCGCTGCGCTCGTCCCGCAGAGGTCCACCCAT